GAGATACCACAACTGTTTAGCACACATTTGGTCAAAGGATCGACTTCACTTGTTTCTTTGATGAGTTGTAATATGGTGCTAAGAACGGAAAGATTCACTGACGATGCCGACTACGATTCCTGCGAAACTTCTAGGAATGTATCACGTCCACAGTCCGACTTTGAAAATTATCATGCGTACAATGGACTCCGGACTAGATGCGTTCCTCTAAGTCTTCCAACCAATGTGACCAAGTTGCGAAAACAAGGTCAAACAACTTCTAGCCAAATCTAGTTGAATATAAGGCAGTTCTATACTCTGGAAAGTACATTAAGAACATTATGTAATGTCGTCTTTTAAATTCGTCATTGCTTCCTATAATTTTTAGATATGCGGCCAAAAATAATCTCCTATTCTATTAATTAGATTACCTTTGGCCTGTCCGGCAAACCATGAGCTGTCAAAGCTTCCTATCAAGTCTTAGATTTTGATTGGTGAGATACAGGCAGTTGTTTAATGTTTGCAAAAAATTAAAGCCTACCTCTCAGGTCTCAATAGAGGCGCGATCCATATATATATGTTCTCAGTGGCTAGGAATTACAGAGTTATGCACCAAAAACACTTAACACTAAATAAATTTTCTGTGACCACTCTTACTGCATTAATCTAACTTCACTTTTTAGGAGGACCAATTCACCATCTGTCATAAACCAGAAAGATACAAGAAACTACTCTTTTCGCTGTGTTTCTTTCACTCTGTACTACTAGAGCGGCGCAAATTTCTTATGCTTGGATGGAACATTCCATATGAATTTAATGACTCCGACTTTGAAGTCTCAGAACACTTATTAACCAACTACCTGGATCTCTACGACGAAACAGCTTGGGACGCCCTGCGCTACTTGATCGCTGAGATCAACTATGGTGGACATATTACTGATGACTGGGATCGCAGACTTTTGTCCACATTCATTAACGAGTATTACCGCGAAGAGGTACTTAAGGAGCCCTTCTACAAACTCTCCAGCTTACCTAATTACTACATTCCTCGAGATGGCAGTCTCAACGCCTATCGTGAATTCGTCGCTATGCTACCCACAATTGATCACCCTGAGGCTCTAGGTCAACATGCAAATGCTGACATTCAGTCACAGATCCAAGAGACCAGACTTCTTTTCGATACTCTTCTCTCATTACGGCCCCAGGTAAAAT